TAAGCCTCCGGCACATGAATGTGGACCGATTCTGCTTTAAATTACGGAATGGTATTTTTAATACGAAATTGGCGTAGCAGGATACAACATTCCATAATTTTAGGAAACAGGACACTAAACAATAATTTTTTATGTTTTAATGAAGACCAAAATAACATTTGAGCTATAACGTGCTTTTAAGGGCTGCAAGCTTCAGTCCCGTTTCATTAGGAGAAGAGACAGACGTATTGGGGATTTTAGAGTGATATGGAAATCATATTTTAAAACAGAGGATTTAAGTAGGCTACTTTATTGCGGTCTTCTGCTGCATTGCCTGGCAAAAACCATGGGCGTCGGTGTACTGTCAATTTTATTGACTCCGGTTGGCCCGAGTGCTCACATTCGAGGAATGCTCTCGCCTGTCTCGTGTTGGCCATTGCGGTGCCATTTTTATTAAAGCGTTACTTGCAGTTGATGCAGTGCGTAAATAGGATGGGTAAAAGGCTACATTGGGCGGAAGGCTGAATTTTGTTCATTGATACGCGTCCCTAGACATAAACTCAAGGACACCCCATACCCTTTCGTAAATATTGACTATAAAGTATAAACCGCAGTGAGCATTTAGTGTGAAAAGCATTGAGAAGTATTTGACCTCATAGCCAAGATACATGTTATATTTTCCGTAGAAAATTGATGGGGCGTTTGGATTGGATACCTTACATTAAAAGCTAACAGCTGGCAGGACTCGGTAATGCATACTGCTTATGGATGATATTATTCAAAACAGTCATTGCGTACACAAATAATACAAAACATAATATTAATGTGTAGTACTTTGGAGAAAATTTACATTTGGAATTACTGGGTAATCACAAAAAAAAATAGGGAAGAATGCACGATTCTTATATAGCCTCTTGTTATATAATATACGCTTTGCACGCAACTGAGGATAGGCCATTTTGAATGTCGGCATCCTCAGATGAAGCTGCATTGTGGACGACTTTTCATTAAGTAAGGCGTCTACTGTTTACAATCAACCATTTTAAAGAATGAACTTGCAGCGACATGTTATTTACTTTGAAAAAAAACCTGTCTCTTTCGCATGTAACATTTGGAGGAAGCTGCCCTTATTTTCACAGGACAGTGGATATTGCACCAAAGCTAGAATGTTGCCTATTAACGTAACTTTCAAGGTGGTATCGGTCGTAAAATGAGGTATTATTTGACAACCACTGGAGGCAAACGTATGTCACTTCTCATGGCAAAATAATTAGTCACAGGTTGGTGCAAACGTGATAGACACAAAAAGGCTTTTAACCAATACGAGCTTCCTACAGAGCGAATAACTAATCAGACGTTGACATACAAGGTGGACTCAAAGTGCTCTAGTTTGAACCACTTGCGAAAATGTGGTTTCATATACGGATCTCTTCAAATTAACGTGCAACTCCATCCCAAGGATTGAAGAGATGCGCCTGCTCCACCTTCTCCTCCTGCTAGCTGTAGTAGCCGTGTTGCCTTCTGTTCTGTACTGGCTCTTCCAAGCGACGGAAAATAATGCAGATTGGAGCTTTTCAACAACTTCTGGCGGAATCGCAGTCTGCGCAAGTGACTGGTATGCTCCAATACGAGCAACTGCTAACGGAAGTTACCGCCTGCAACTTAACGTACCAGTGGATTCAACCGTCGCAACCACCCGCTTTTACCGCGTTCGTAGCAGCAAAGTGGTGAAATTTGACAGCCATCCACGCCCGCTCTCCTTCGAGGATATGGCTGCGATTGAGGATCAACTTTGGCGTCTGCCTGTCGACAACCAGGTGTACCTGCTTTATCCACAGAACCTCAACATGTCGGAGGTCGTTAGCAGAGTGAAGTCGTGCCGTGCAGTGCCCGCGGTATGTTGTTATAATGCCCTATTCATAAAATCTTGCTGTGAAGGGTAGCTAATTGTGATGTTTCTAATGATTGTAATCATTGTGTCGATGTTCCTTTCTTCTATTGTCCACATTCTGAAGATTTTAACTGTGGTACCGCACCTCACAGTTTTTATACACAGGTGAAAAATCGTATGTTTGTTTTTCTAAAAGCTCAGGATAAGAGCTGTTATGGCCATTTCTCCTCACTGCGCCGAGATGAGGAGCCGGCTTCAACTTTTTTTAATACAGATGCCTACTTTTCAACACATATTGCGTGAATTTGCTGTATGCTGTGCTGTCGTATCTGTCTTTCGCGGAGCTCAGATATACTATTTAGAAATGCAACCGTAGGTCAGTTTGGTGGATTCTGCGCTTATTCTTCGAAATGTTTTTGTCCTATGCGTCAACGAATGAATACCGGAGATACCCGATTTGGAAAAATACTTTACGGAGGTATTTTGTTTTAGATCGGTAGGTCTACTCATGCGATCGATTTGATGCTGCTTGAATGAGCAAGCTGCTCGTAAAGCTGA